GGCCGGGCCTAGAAATTAAAAATTCTGTCGGGCTCGGGCCGGGCCCGGGCCATGTCTCTACCGGGCCGGGTCGGGCCGGGCCTAGAAATTCCGGCCCGTGCAGTGCTCTACATTCACTCAGTCAATCATGAATCACTCAGAAGACAGATCAGCAGCTGCCGCAGCTGCTTCAATAAATTTGAAACTGCCACAATTCTGGTCGTCGGACTCGGAACTTTGGTTCTTGACTATCGAGTCTTTGTTTCAGAAGAATAAGATAACTTCCCAACAGTCCAAATATGACCACGTCGTCTCGTCACTACCCCAAACAGAGGCGGCGGTTGTCCGGGGTATCCTGCGTGCACCTCCTCAAGATATGCCGTACGACTTGCTCAAGGCCGAGCTTATCAGGCGTACGACGAAGTACGAACAGCGGCGGCTTCAACAGCTTCTGACATCAGAGGAACTTGAAAACAGGAAACCATCGGAGCTACCTCGTCGTACGGAGAAACTTCTGGGTGACAAGGGCGCAACCATACTCCGAGAATTATTTCTCCAGAGACTGCCCACTCAAGTCCGCAGGATTCTCTCCACCTCAGCAACAGACTCCGTCGAAACGCTAGCTCGAATGGCGGACCAAATCATGGACGTTAACACGGTCAAAGTTTGCCACCTAACTCTCTTCCAAACCCCTCACACCGAACATCTCTGTTAGATGAAACTCTTTTCCAGCTGCTGGAGTCAACAATCCACTGTCGCACACCTCTCAGAAGAGCTCAAGCAGCTGCGGCTGGACACTCGCCGTCTGACAACGCGTCAACTCTCAGACAGCCCACCACGACGTCGTCGATCTAGGTCTGCAAACAGCAGCGGTACATGCTGGTACCGCCGCACCTTTGACAGCCGTGCTAGGAGATGTGAGTCACCCGTTCCAGGAAAACAGGCAGGCCCCGCGCTGACGGCGGCCGGCGTTGCGGGCCACAGAGCAAGCCGTCTATTCTTCGTGACTGACCGCACCACAAAGCATCAGTACCTCGATGATAGTGGCGCGGAAATAGCCTCATTCCACCAACAAAAGAGGACCGACGGTGCCCTGCAGAAACACTCCCCTTGCGAGCTGTCAACGGCTCCACCATCAAGACCTATCAACAACGACCGTCGCTCACTCTCAACCTAGGTCTGAGGAGGACGTTTCGTTGGGTGTTTTATGTGGCTGATGTACAGCAATTCATCCTAGGTGCAATTTTTTTACGCAATTTCGGCCTCCTTGTCAATCTGAGGAGGAACGTACTCCTGGATGCGGGAACGCATATGTACGTTCACGGAATCCCGGCGAGACCGAGTCCCTCAACCTCACCGTATCAACACCCGTACTTCAGGCTCCGTGGAAGTCCCTTCTAGACAAATTTCCTCAGCTGCTGCAGTCATCGAACTCGACAGAGCCAGCTAAACACAACGTCACGCACCATATAGAAACAGCTGGTCCCCCAGTTTTTGCAAGACCTCGACGCCTCGCTCCTGATCGCCTCAAGATCGCCCGACAGGAGTTTGAACACATGATCGAACTAGACATTGTAGGTCCCTCAACAAGTGCTTGTTCATCGGCACTACATATCATGCCAAACAAATGTGGAGATTAGTGACCCTGCGGGGATTACGGTGCTCTCAACAATGTGACAGTCCCCAGACCGGTATCCCATTCCACATCTTCAAGATTTCGGCGGTGCGTTGCACGGATCTAAAATTTTCAAGAAAATTGATCTCGTAAAAGCGTACCAGGTTGAACCTGGCGACATACCAAAAGCAAAAATTGTAACACCTTTCGGCATTTATGAATACACCGGAATGCCTTTCGGCCTAAGAAACGAGCGCAAACGTTTCAAAAGTTCATGGACCAAATACTACGCGGACTACCCTTTTGCTTTGCGTATTTAGACAATATCCTCGTTTTCAGCACGGACTGTAAACAACATTTTCGTCATCCCCAAAAACTCTTGGCTCGCCTCAGCGAGTACGGACTTGTCATAAACCCGGCGAAATGCGAGTTTGGCGTCTCAGAACTCTCGTTTCTGGGCACTGGGTCACCAGGTCAATCACCTTGGTCCCATTGCCGCAACGGATCGAAGCGATCAAGACATTTTCGCAGCCTCCCACTACTACTAAGCTCAGAGAATTCCTGGGGCTTGTGAATTTCGATCGTCGCTTTATTCTTCGTTGTGGAACCATACTCCAGCCGATCAACCAGCTTCTTGCAGGTGCAAAGCGCAAGAAAGAGCAACTTACGTGGACATAATCAGCTACTGAGGCATTTACCACCATCAAACAGGCTCTTTCTAAAGCAACCCTTTTGACTCACCTCCGACGCAACGCCCACACTTCCATCATGGTTGACGCAACCAACACCGCAGCAGGCGCAGTTCTACAACAGTTCAAAGACGGTCAGTGGCATCCAGTGTCATTCTTCTCAAGACGGTTTTCACCAGCCAAAACAAGAGAACTGCTTGGGGTGTACCCTTGCCGTGAAATACTTCCACCATTTTTGAGAAGGTAGACAGTTTTGTATATGGACCGATCACAAGCCTCTTACATACGCATTTCAATTCAACAACTCTAACCATACGCCACGGGAGATCCGTCATATGCCCTCCGTTTCCGAATATACTACCGTCACAAGGTTCATTTCAGGAAAGGAACACCTCGTCGCCGATGCATTATCACGATTAAAAATAATTGAGATCACTTCAACCCAACCAGTAATCGATTTCGCGATTATCGCTCAAGCTCAATAAACAGAAAAGAAGTCACTTGAGCTCCACTCAACACGAACGTCTTTTATACTACAAGACAGCAACGTTCCCGGCAGCACTACAACGATAGTTTGCGACATATCTACAGGCACGCCTCGACCGTATATTTCGCCTCATTTCTGGCGCACAGTGTTTGATGCACTGCACACACCATCCCACCCTGGCATACGTGATACCCAGCGTTTGTTCACAGCACGCTTTGCGTGGCCACGAATCAACGCGGAAGTGGGGCGGTGGTCACAATCCTGCCTTCAGTGTCAAAAGGTAAGAGTTCATCGACACACCATCTTGACTCACGATGCTTTGCCCCAACCTGACACTCGCTTCAGCCATGTTCATCTGGACATTGTGGGACCTTTACCAACATCGCAAGGCTTTCGATATATGCTTACATGCGGAGACCGTTTTATAAGATGGTCGAAGCAATTCCCATCATACGCATAACAGCTGAAAATGTCGCCCACGCATTCATTACCACACGGGTTGGTTATTTCGGTATGCCATCTGCCATCAGAACTGACCGTGGCCGGCAATCGAATCATCTCCTTTCCGCCATCTTTCACAGTCTTTGGGGGTCAACCAAATTCACACCACGGCTGTCCATCCGCAAGCCAACGGTATGGTTGAAAGGCTACACCGCCAACTTAAAGCAGTCCTCATGGCACAAGCCACGCATTCATCATGCTGGACTGAAGTTTTGCCATTAGTACTCCTCGGCATTCGCTCTGAATTCAAACATAATCTGAACTGCACTACTGCTGAGCTCGCTTATGGCACGACCTTGCGCCTGCCTGGTGAATTAATTCCACCTCCAGCAGAGCCTGCAATCCCTGACATACAGGATTTTGCAAACCGCCTACGAGAGCACATGGCACAACTGTGCCCCGCAAGGGCCACACAACCATCTTCACTATTCATGAGTCCAGCATTATCAAAGTCTTCCCTCGTCTTCATTCGGAAAGATGCAGTAAGGCGATCACTTCAACCTCCATACAATGGACCATACGAAGTTCTACGCAGGGACGCCAAGCACATGACTCTGCTTATCAGTGGTCGCACAGACACAGTGTCTATCGACCGGCTCAAGCCTGCATTTCAGGAACGTCCGCAACCTTCCTCATCCGTGGATCTCCTAACGCGCCCCCAAGAAGTAGCAGAGTTCCAAAGAAAGCTCGTTTTCAAGAAACAGCGTAAAGCTCAACGCTCGTCAACCGGCTACCTCTCTAGGGAGGAAGTACCTGTAGGAACTACAGCCACAAGGAAGAAGAGAAGGACTCGGGGATGAGCGAGAGGCGCGCGAAGAGAGCACGAGAGTGAGTCAGTTTTCGGCCATTGGCGACGTGCGCGATCGAAAGCGTCGCTGTGATCGGCCTTCCACGATTGGGCGAATGTTGACTATGACGTCGGCAAAGGATTTCTCATCGACAGAATTAAGAGGAATGTAAGAACTTCAATTTTGTCTGTGTTGGCAGTGTTGGTTTCAGAGCGCTATGATTTCGAGCTTCCACCATGCTCATTACAACCGCCATCGTACTTGTTGTTCGCAAGGTAATGACGTCACGAGAGGTAACCATACGAGGGCGCCACCAAAACATCTCGCCACTAATACGTACCAAGGAACAACCTTCACGTCTATTTTATTATTATTTTTTTGTAAATATGTAAATATAATATATATTGTGGCGTTCGCGACTCCTCGGTTTCATAAGAACCCACAATACGATTACCGCGCCGCCCTTTAGCGGCGAGTAAAAACATGTAATTTGCTTCACATATCTACTGCGAGACGCCGCGGCTGGATGGCCCCACCTAGAGTTCCTGTACAGGCTCCCTACGGGAGGCAGAGTTGCGTGTTCGTCCCCGTAGCGCAGTCTTTCCTGCACGGCATGTTGATCCAGCTCCTCACGTGACTGAATTCGGCGAATAGCGGCGCCGCGCATTCGAGGCATGTGGCGCGCTCCAAAGCAGGGGAACGTACGCCGGGGCGCCGTGAAGCGTTTACTTTCCTGCACGCCAATTGATCCGGCTCCTCACGTGATCGGATCTCGGGGAGTAGAGGCGCGGCGGCACGTGGAAAACAGGCGCGCAACTCTGGCTCCCGTAGGGAGCCTAGACAGGAACTCTAGCCCCACCCAGAGTTTCTATGGGAGCCAGAGTTGAGCGTCTGTTTTCGTCGTGCCGCCATGCCTCTACTCCCCGAAATCCGATCACGTGATGAGCACGATCAAATGGTTTGTTTAATTTTATTACGGAGCAAAAGCTATTGAGTGGTTCAAGGGAAAACTTTTTAGTATTCAAACTCTTAATTCTTACCTTAAAAACAACCAAAAAACTTATTTGCCAGATGTTTTTGTTATTATACTTACGTTGCTGTCGTGTTAACCTATTTGTATCTTTTGTTCCAGCATCTTCCTTGGCTCCTTGGCGCTAATTATGGCCTTAAGCACACTTGCGGAGTTTTGGCTATTGAGACAAGGAACTGAGAATTCGAATAGAGGTAAGTGAAATGTCGGCGATTGACAGAGGAGAAAATACTAAAAAAATACTACCACCCCCAAAATGTTTCTTTTTTTTTTTTTTGCCATACGAGTCATTACGGTGTCAGACGACTACCCAATCAATATTTCGCTACAGCGTCAGATATATTTTTAATAGAGTGAAAAGTCGACAATGCTCGAAACCGAAACCGAAATTGGACTGGGGACGAATAAGGAAGATATGCTGAATTCGGGCAATCGCGTCTCTCCTCTAACCTTGATTCAGCAGAAAGCCCCCTCCTCGCTGCCAGAGCTACTCGGGATCCTCTTCAGCCGATCACAACTGCTGGGTTTAGAGCGCTCTGACATTCTCAGACCAGTGACGGAAGTAGGACGGCATGGCATTGGTAATGCGATTAAAAAAAAAAAAGATTTTGCAGCGTACGGTGGACGATTGAGCAAAATTTACGCTAGCAAAGTAATGAAATATTCGTTTTGACTAGGGATGCCGCGAACTTTTTTCGAATCGAAGTTTCGATGATCGAATCAAGCGGTTCGAAAGGTTCGAAAGATTTCGATTTTTCGAATTTTCTACATTGTAAAATTCGACGGAAGTCGAATTTTCGAACTTGTCGAGCTAAGAGGTTCGACGCGTTTCGAACCGTCGAACTTATTATGCTAAGATATTCGATCTTTTTCGAACTTTCGAACTTATTGCGCTGCAAAGTTCGATGCTTGTCGAACTTCCGAACTTGAGTGACCAAAAAATTCGATGAATTTCGAACTTTCGAACTTATTTATCAAGAAAATTCGAAAAGTTTCGAGCTTTCGAATCCTGAAAAGTCAGAATTTCGACGAACTGCGAACTTTGAGGGTAAAAGTTCGATGCTCGTCGAACTTCGAAAGACCAGCCGACGGTTTCATTTGAATTCAAGTAGTGAAATACATTCGTAGTTTTTTTTTCTTGAACTTTTACACGCGGTGCTGCGTTCCTTACGAAAGACAATGGCGTTTGTTTCAATGTTCTGGCATGCTTAGTTTTAAAGAAATAAATTTCTGAAGGGGCGAGGAAGGACGACGGGTTTTTGATGATTATCGTTTGTGCCAGATTTGAAGCGCGCTGTAGCCGAAGCTATTTGTGGTAGAGATGTTATACTTTTTTAAAGATGATCTATGTATAGCCTAGGTAAGTGCCGTCTTAAGATGTGATTATTGTTATTCAACGTGAGTTTCGAAGAAACGTCCAAACATGTATCTACATGCAATTATGCCCTAAACTTGATATTTATTTTCATCTAAGTTGTTTGAGGTATCGCATTTAAATTAACATCACAGACAGTGCGTATCATTGCCATCTGCAGAATACAAAATAATGTATTTATTGTTTTTTCACGTTAAGGAATAAATTAACTCATGGGAGAAGATTTCTAATAGTGTTCAAGTTCAGCACGTCATTAAAAGAAAACTTTTTTTTTTTCGCTTCACGATCCTGGGACGTGTGGGCCTGTACACATTTTGGTAAAATAAACTTGTTTCGAAGTTCTGAACCTCTGAATGCGCAAGAATACAACACTTCCGGCGAATTCTTTATAGTTTTTTTTTCTCCAGCTTTTTATCCCCGCATTTATTCTCCTTTTCTTTTCTTTTTTTTTTTTTTTACTATTGGCACAGGTATTTAGGTCGAAAAAAACGTAACTTTGAACTTACGAACCACTAAGCATGTGACGAGTAGTGCCTTCTGACAACGAGTTTCTAACAATGACCATCTACGCGATCTTTTATGCAGTGAAGAGCGACAGTGGCTATACATATGCATAAATAATTTCAGATTAAAATAAGCTCGACCACGCCCTCTTTCCCCGTATTGTTTTCTTTAACAGTCCGAAATATCTGGAAGGGGGGAAGAGAACTGAAGCCCCCCCCCCCCCCCCCTACCCTCTTACCCCCCGTTTTTCCTCTTCCGACGCCACTTGTATGGTAGAACGCTCCTCGACCTAGAGTTGTGTCGGCTTTTTGCGAGGCGATTCCTCCGTCCCAGAAAATAAACCTCCAGGACAATTACAAACTTAACTTACTATATGCCAGCGTCACTGTGGCGGCGTTCGATCGGATTACTACCAGCGTGCAAGGGAAGGGGTGGCGAGGTAGTTTGCCAGGTCGCTTCAAGGTTTTTCTGAGCCTCAACCTCCTGCTCGTCCCTGGCCGTTTCGAACTGGATGAGTCTCGTAAAACAGTGTGTTCGTGTGATCACTACTGCGTGAGACAGGTTAAAGACCCCCCCCCCCCCCCCCCCCCGCCCCCGAGCTGGCGGTCACAATTACTGATCCATGGTCACACGTCACTCTGCACTGGCAAATATTCCAGCACATCCGGGACACTCTTCGTCTCATTTAATTGCCTGAACAACTTCGCAGAATCTAGATATCACACCCTAACTTTTCTAAACTTGATTTTGTGAAAACCAGTGAGTCGTGAAAACGTGTTTTGAAACAAACTGTGGAGGAACTTGAAAACCGGACTTCGAACTTTGAAAACTTGGACTAGAAAAAAATTCAAAATCTTCGAATTTTTTTTTTTTTTTTTGAATTTAGCGTTAAAAGAGAATCGAAACCTTCGAACTTTTCGAACTTTGTGCAGAAAGAAATTCGAAATCTTCGATTTGTTCGAACTTCATGTCTATAAAAATTCGAAGCGTTCGAAGTTGTCGAATTTTGTTTCCAAAGAATTTCGAAATCTTCGAATTTATCGAACCTGAAGTAAAAAAATATTCGAAATATTCGAATCCGAAATTTTAGAAACCGTGAAAGCTTCGAACTTTTCGAATTCGAAACTCCACTGTGATCGAAAGTTGCGAATTTTTCGAATTCGAACCTCGGTCGGTACGAAAATATCGAAATTTTTCGAAATCGAACCTCAGTTCGCTTCGCAAATATCGAAACCTTTCGAAATCGAACTTGGGGTGGTTCGCGACATCCCTAGTTTTGACTTAAATTGTTTTATGCATTGACATGTGAGAAAAAAAAGAAGTAAACAGTATGCAAACAGATTTTTACCGAACGGAACGAAGGCCAATGCTTGGAAAGAGTTGTCAACTCATTGCGTTTTTGACAGTGAACGCGCTGCGATAGCGGTTATACGTACAGCAGAGCAGGCAAATAAAAAATGGTTAATAAACCGCATCTTTCTCACGGCGAAATATCATGCAAACAGGATCTAGCGCATATATTCATGTGACACAAATCACGGTGCCTTATATTCGGCCCTCCCTTTATTTTACAAGACAAGCCTATGAACGCAGTTTTACCAAACCTGAAAACTTCTTCAAGGGACCACAAAACCCGCTAAAATAGCGGCGAGCTCTGCGACTGCTTCTTCCTCGGTTAGGCTTACCAGATTCACTGCCGTGAGATGAACGATCTCCTGAAAGCACAGGGAATACTTCACACGCCGACTTTTCGTGTTAGGTCACGAACGAAAGTCAACCCGTTCGTTGTAATCCTCGCACCATCGAATACACAAGCACTTTGTAGAACCACATATAAATCGCCGTCATGTGGACCCCGCACACCACCACAGACCACTGCCAGCCATAGTGAACAAAACCACGTGATCCCCGTCGAAGTACCACGTGACTCCTGCGCTGCTCTGCACTCCGAAGACTACAGACGGAGTGCTAGGGAGCGCTCTGAGAGGAAGAGGCGCCCTCGGAATGAACCAGCCGATCAGGCCACAGCACTCTCGTTCCACCACTTGATCTCGCGCGCTCTGGAAAGAGCGCTCTAGAGCACGCAGATTGAACCACGCGAATTCGCCTATAGAGGAGGAGGACAAAGTTGGTGGAAGTTACGCGGTTGTGCAAAGTCTTTTTTTTTTTCGCCATCAACGTATTTGCACCTTTTTAAAAGTCATAAAAAATGGGTATCACAATTGTTTTTTATTTCTAATATTGGTGTGTGTGTGTAGCTTCGATCACCCACGACCTTGCTTATATTTTGGTGGTTGTGTCTAAACTAGAGCACTATATATCTCCTTCGGAGCAGAGTAGCGCAATCTAGAACGCCCCCTCTCCGCGACTAGTGGCGAACGGCCGAAGGTTCCAACTCCGGTTACAAATTTATGAGAAACGTAAGAAAATCGTGGTTTCTTCAATATTTTGGGGATGCAAGGAACGACGATAGTTTTTCTCATAATAAAGAACATTTTACGATACTTCGCGCTAAATTGTGTTTCACGTAAGAGCGTAATATTTTTAAATAAATGCCTGAGGGGCATGGTGCAACAGACGACTCGGCGACGTGACACCGTTCACGTGACCCGCTCCGGTCATCCCATTGAAAAATGTTCATAACCGCTGAGTAAAAAAATCTTCTGCTTTAAACGCCATTGCCTTGGAAACTACCTTCTGAAAATTTTCCCACGCATCCAATAATATGAAAACTTTGATAAAGTGTGTAGTTCTTTACCAACTTCACGACCGGATATAGTTTCGAAAAGTGTGAACTCTTCGTTTATTTTTTAATCAGCCGAGTGGCGTCGATCTCCATGTGTTCTTCCTTGGGGCGGATCGCCTCCTGGAACCCTGAATACCACGTGACTCGCCCCGATCTGCTCTTTCAGCCATGTTGTCGGCAAAACACGCGGATCAAAGGATTGCGTTGGACGTATACAGTGCCTTAGTCTAAACCATAAAAAAATGGCGTGTGACCGCAAAAAAGAGAGTGAGCGCGACTCAAACCGGCCAGTTATCGATCGTCGGTTTTCGAGCCGAAAAAGTCAAACGAATTTTGAGCAGCGAATTGTTTTCTGGGAAGTTGGGCTTTCATATGGCATGTACAAATAAAACCTTGGCGAGAATAAATACCCTGTCAGAGTCCCTTTAAGAGGATGAGGCACGAGGATTAGGGTGGTGTGCCAAAAAAGCCTCTTTTAGAAGATTTTATGAGCCCCATCTTACAGCGGTAAACGAGATGAAGAAGTACAATTTGACGCATAGATGGGGCTGATCTACACTGTAATTCCATGAGAACTTGACTGCTTTTATGAAAATATAAAGTTTGGGTTAAAAAAATTCAAAATTATTTTAGGATCACCATACCAATATTTTAGCACCTAGGGGGACCGGTGGCCAAGAGTTGTTAACGCACCGCGGCCCGGAGTGCGTGTATACTAACATCTCGCGTTGCAGAACTAAGGGACGAGTGCAATCCTCACGCCTGCCCGTTTCAATCTGGAGGACCATCGTACCGGCGCTTGATCGCGTATCATTGCAGCGTGATGCGCAGTATTGATCCGAGGCTGGTGCCGCACTGGCAAACGTTTTATTATTTTTTATCCAGTTGAGACAACAGGCGCCAAACGAGGCTGACGTAACTTCCGACTGTTTAAACACACCAAACACGCAATTTAGGCGCACCTGACAGAACATAAAAGTTCCGTTTTATATATTGGCGGCAGTCTCGTTACATCGAGGACGTTTTCACGGAAAAACTATATAAGGTGACAGGTTTCGAACTGAGTAGCCTCCAACTCGAACGTTCTGACTTTGACCACGACGCGCTCTCAGCCACCATCCGGCAAAGTCAACGAGCGCCTGTACCAGGCGAAGCACAACTGGGTTTCAACTTGTCATCAAACATAATATTCGTCCCTACTCGTGCTTTGTTCTTGTTATGAAACGATAGTTTATCGAAATAAAATTGCCCCGGATGCATATGTTTCATTCGGTTTTCTCAAAACTATACTTTGAAACAGGAAGACAGGTGACCAACATTAATAATTAGGCTTGCAATAAGGAGAACCATATTTATTTATGCCTACTTTGTTTCTTTCAATATTCCCCGAGCAAACGTACCTATATTAAAGTAAACGTCTTATCCTAGGTGTTTGTTTGAAACCAGAAAAGTGCAAGTAAAGCAGATAAAATGTTTTGGCGCTTTTTCTTTCCGTACAATAAAGTAACTAGCCCAACTCATCATTTTGTTACAGAGACGATGCCTGGCCATCTCAAGAACATTTTCTCTAAAAGATTCGCTAGTGCAACGTGACCTGGGCAGCCATTGGTTAGACGTAGGGTGTGAAAATTATAATACAACTTCCACATCTTTGCAACAATAACTTTTACTGGCGAAAAAAAAAAACAACGTCAATCCGTATGCAAAATTATCCTTAGATGAGGAAACATGCCACTCCTTTGAGACAACGACTCAAGTGTCTGGTTCTACGGTCGAAACCAAGTGTCAACCTGAAAGCAGGGCAGGCCGCCGTCGGTGTACGAAATTCTAGGATCCACAGGGCTCGTTGATCAACTAGGATTCACGATGCCAATTGAATTTACAACGTCTTAGAAAGGATGGTGTTTTTCTGCAAGATCCCGCCTTCAACAGTCTAACGTTTTGTAAAGAAAAGTGATGAAGACGGAAAAAACATGTTTGTGGCTTTGCCCCCTTTGTTAAAATATTTCTCGTCTCTTGATTATGTATATTAAAAGGCACCATGTATTTCCTTCTTCTTCTCCTGTACATTAAAAGGCTTGAAAAACATTTATTGTACTTTCTTCGTCAGGATCCGGATTCGAAGTCATCACAGCCTTTTCGGTGCGTAGGAACACGGTACTACTTCTTTCCAACGATACTGACGAGCAGTCAACAGCCTATAAGTTGAGATTCCTACACGGGATTCGTGTGCTCAGCATGTTTTGGATTGTCATGGGCCATTCTGCACGGAATGTGGCTCTAGTCATGTGTGAGTACTGTTTGACCCTTTTTGTTCATTATCAAGCGAACTATTGAACTAGACAAATTTATAACTTAACGTGGTACACAAAAAATGACTAAGTTTAAGAAAAAAAAATGGAAGTGAAGCATTTATTTAAGGTTCTAGGATTGCGAGAGGGAATGTGCTTTATTAAAATTCCTGCAGACGCGTAGAAAACAAAATAGCAGCAAGCTGCTCATGAAAGTAAAGAACATATATTTACAAGCAGGTCTGGGAGTTAACTTCATAATGGTAAACCCGAGAGTGAGAAAAAATATGGAGTAAAAAAGTAGTGTCATTGTTTTTGTATTTATTTATTTCCAGCCTCGGGTTTATCATGATGACTCTACTCATTTTGCACTCTCTTTCAGGCACGTACCAAAGAAAGAGAGTGCGTGAAGGTGTCTTGCTGTACTGTCTCATAATTTATGTTTGTCTAACCTAAAAATCCTCTCAAAGTGAACAAAATTTTGAGCCAGGTAGATTTATTTTTTGAGATTTCCTCCACGAATATAGGCATACCTTGCTCCCTAATGAGCAACATTCAGAAGTGGCGAGGCATCGGTATCATGTGCGGCTCCAGACCTATCTGAGCTTCAGGGAGGAAATTTTTTTTTTATCAGTAGCGTCAAATTTTACTTTTTTAAAATTTGCGTAGCTTGTTTTATAGTTGCTATGGATTACCTTGATACTGTTGACTCCCTGAGGCTGGTGACGCTGGGGCTATTTTATACACCTTTACGTGTGTCCGTCCGTTGAATAAATGATTTTTTTTTAATCTGCCAGAATATAATGCTTGACATTTATTTGCCACATAGCCCAAAGTGAGATCCCAACCAGATTTGCCTTAAAAATGGGAGGCTTCGTAGGAAGTCCCAACACGATTTCAAGTAGAGGCCTCGTAGAGCTTCGCCGGTTCATCTAGTGCAGGTGATCGGGACCATGAGCACCATATAAATCTAATAAGACCCCGAGCCGCTGGGGCCATATCTATACTTTAGGCCTGTGCGATGTCCACCCAAATATCCAGGCATTTTTGACCCCAGCTTTATGGCGTATTGTTGCGACGAAGTATTTCTTCGAGGAGAGGATCGAGCGTTATCGAGTTTTAAGGTCACGTTCTTCGGGTCACAAATGTTTATTATTCCGCCGCGCCCGAAAAAAACTAGTTGCGGAGAAGTCACCATATGCCGACATAATATCTCACTCCCCGTGGAGCCACCGTTAGCATTCCTTTTGGGGAAGGAGTGCGGTGCCCAGAGTTATGTTGTAGGGATTTTTTTGTGTGTTAGTTAGTGAAGGGCAGAAACACATTCAAGAATAAAAAGACTCCGATGACTCAACTCCACTCCGTCATGCAAGGGGTCGCTCAGATTTTATGACGTGACTTCTTATTTTTGAAGATTTTTCTTGGACCTTTATAACGCACACGGTTTTCGCCTAAAAATATATGTCGCGTGAATACGACATGAAGTGCTTAGCTTTTTAATGCCGTTTGGGCAGACAATTAAGGCAATTTAAGATCATACCTTAATTGCACTCAGAATTTAAGCTCGATAAAAATTGCGATGACGTTTATTCTTCTCGTCGTAAATCCTCGAAAAATCTCCGGCCCTTCCTTAAATTTAAGCTGAAAAGGTTATTGAAAAAAGAGGGGTTAGAGGAGAATTCTAGACCATTTTTGTCCTGTGAAATATAATATCACAATATATTTGACCCCAACGTATTAATATGCGCGAGACAAACCTAAACACCAACCACTGGATTTGACGGCTTACCAATTGCGTTTCATCTGCCTTGCGGGTGTAGCTTTATGGGGAACACTTGCGGTGTTTTCGACCGCTCGAGTAATTGCTGGTTCAGATACCTGCGTCGGTTGCGTCCACTGCAACGAAAACGACCAAAATAACGAATTCACCGGTACAACCGTGAGCCGCGATTGCTTTTCGAAGATACTACTCGTGTCGCTTGCCAGGTTGTGCACAACAAACTTTTCCTGGTGCCACTGTCGTTGCTGTCGTTTCAGTTGCTACGAACGCAACCGTCTCAAATGTTTGAACCAAGCATTCGACTTGTAGACGGCGCGGGACCATTCCCTCCTGTCACCGGACGAGCTGTTAAGAGAACCACTATTTTGGACAGCGTGTTAAGTGTACTACTTGGCGTGTTAAGTGTATTTTCTTTCTTTTTTTTTTTTTTGTTGCCGCTTCATTTTTTCTTTTAGCCATTTTGAGCGAGGGAAATTCAGTAATAACGCTTCACGGTAACGCAGTCGCACAATGTTCGCTAACGTTTCTCGCTGCGACGCTCCAAATTAGCTCGCTGGTGCCGTTAAGCTTTTGCTCTTTGTTAGTATGAAACGAAGCGTTTCTGTGAAAAAGTAATGTTTTTGACGTACCGAATGCTCCAATTTTTTACCCGAATATTTCGTTCCTTATTTATGCGACATTCAGCTGCGCCGTAATATGCCCTGATTGCGAGAATGCATTATAATATTTCCCACACCGCGGGGTTACGCAGTATCTCATATTTTCAAAGCCAAGATCTCTCAAATTATCGCCTTCAAAAAATATTGTGATTATACTGGGATGATTAAAGCTCTAAAGTCTGCTAAATTATTTTTTTTAGAAATTACATCGAACGGAAAGCAATATCATCGCCGCTTCTCTAATCACTGCACAGTTGCGCGTGTTGTTGCGCCGTTCATGACACACAGTTATGGCCTCTGCGAAGTCTTTGAGGGTGTGCATACACCAATGCAAGATGGCCGACGCAACGACAACCTGCGACCACGTATAGTGTCCTTCAAAGTCGCAAACAGTCAAAACTTCCTAAGCGCAAAGTCACGAAAAAAGGTTGCATAAAGAATATATTTAAAATTGTTCTCTTAAAAAAAAAATCTTGATGAAGTGCGGTCCGGTGAGTCAGAGCATGGTCGTTATGAAAGATCACGACAGCAGCATTTCCGGTTGTCGTTCACATGTGAATGTTTGTACATAGATACATATTCACTTGAGGATCGCTTAATAATGTAAGTTCTCATTAATTTAAAATGACTTTCCGAGCAAGGTTCATTTTTGTAACTCTACCTCCTCTCCCTTCCTTACTTTATTAATGCTACCGTACTTGACATCTTTCTTATCTTTCACTACATCTTCATTAAAGCCTCAGTTGTGAGTCAGCGCTCTTTCCTTCCTGTTGTCTCTTCCTTCCTTACCTTATATGCGCTGTTTAAGTAAACATGTCTAGCCAACTCGCCCATCAAGTCATTCTGGTCCTATTAGGGAGTTTAAATATATTGTTATAATAGCCTCGATTACGATGCCCAGTAAATACCCTATTGAAAATTCCATCAAGCTACGTAATTTGGGACACTGACTGCCAGTCAGCAGCCTTGGTGGAACGTGATGGACCATCAGACGTCATCTGATGGTCCATCAGATGACGTCTGACTGCCACTGCCAAGGGATTTTCATCAACAAGGGCAGCATTTATATAAGAGTAAAGCTATACGCACTCATAAATATAGCCAAATGCCTCGATAAAACAAAATTTTCGAGAAAAAAAAAAGCAGCACCATTGTGCATCGAATCCGCGACCGGATGCGTACAAATCGGACACTTAACCGCTATGCTACGCCACCGTTAGAGACACTCGACTTGACTATTCGTTTTATACGAAATACTTTGGCTGCAAATGCAGTTAAGCCGTCAGCATGTTATGCAAAGCACCCGTACATCACTCGCCGTACTTCAGTTCTACTCACCTGCCATGTAGAGTACTTTCGCGTCGTAGAACGATCCTTTTGTTCTCGCATCACCGACCCAGTAGACCTGGTACACCCTGTCGTCTTCAACTACACCGCTAAAGTCCCTTACATCGTTGGAACTCACAACAGGCTGGGTCTTGTCGAGTAGAAATTCTACTAAAACATAAGACATTGTAGAGCCCGGGCAGGATCGACAGGTTGGAGCAAGCGGGCAAACAAAACGAGTCGAGAGCGATCGTTCATGAAAGCTCGGCGAAGCCCCTATGGGCGAAGCGAAGTGCGAAGTGTCGTGTTCGGCGCTTCGGCGGGCTTGTGATCAAGGTTGTCGGTCGGTTGCGTCTCATACCTCTAACGTTAACGGTTTTATGGGCTCACGTCCCAAAATCGTTTTCTCGTGCATAGATTACTTTTCGTATTCATAGATTTGACGAAATAGTGGTATCCGAACGAACTTTACGTCCTTTGACCGTACGTCTGTCTGCACGTCAAAGCTTTCTGTCGTACAGTCAGAGACAATCGATGTACAGTCAGAATCACCACCAAGACATCCTGATGGCATTTCGCGGCGGCCGACTGCCACCAGGAAACCATCAGAAAGCCGACAAGCGGGGTCGGACTGGAGTTTGACTGTCGGTCAGAGCAACTTTTGGCCAATCAGACATGCTTGACGTACAGTCAGGCACAGTCAGCGGTCCACTAGAAAACATTGACTGCCAAACAGGGTTACATTGATGGATTTTTCCTTCGGGTAACGAAATAGATTAATCAGCGAAGCATCGCGTACCGTTATCGATGCTTCAATAAGGATCCATTGAAACTTTATAATATCAGCTGTTTTAATCAACATGTCGATTTATTGTAACTAGATGGCATTTTCAATTAAACTGGTGTCCCAAAGCAAACGACAATCCCTATGGAGACAGCCTTCTTGGACATCAAATTTTTATCTTTTTCTTTGCCATATTGTCACGTATAAAACGGACCCGTGACAAATGTAGAATTGAACATAAATGTTTAATGAGTTGAACTCGTGGCCAAGAATTGAAAGGGAAAAATACAACGCATCCGGCGTTGGCGACGGCAAGGCGATTGTCCCGAAGCAGCCCATTGCAGCTGCTTTTGTACAGGCGCAAGTTCAGAAATGTTTTGAAACAGAACAGATGGAAAAAGCCGAGAATGGACAGGGACATTACAGAAAACTAAATGAGTATCAACAGAAAGATGCGCGCCGAGCTGGGGTTGAACCTTTTTCCTCGGCGTGGCAGCCGAGTGCGTTGCCAACCCCACCACGAAGGCGGCACTATGAGCTGCCTGACTGAAGTGAAAACCCCTCTTGGCCTCGGGAAGGTAGCGCGCTTAGGTCCCGCAGAGGAAACCTATATAAAATGGTCAATGCGCACAAAAAGACAGCTGCTTTTGCACAAACCTGGGTTAGGCTGGAGTTTGCTGGTTAAAATTTTACCGACACGAGCGCCAACATTTGAATGATTTGCAGGTGAACGCAACTTAGTTCACCCGTTTGTTTGCCTTACGTGGCCTACGCCAATGTCACCAGCAAAAAGTACGCTAGTTTCATGTTCACTTATTCTAAATGGGACTTAAAAAAAGAATATCTTATTAAAACTCACCCTGCCAATTATTTTAGAAACGTGGGAAACAACAATAAAATTGAGGTTAAGAAAAGGGGTTAAAGTATTGTTCACCATTTCGTTTCCATCCCTACCACCTTCTTTACGCGCGGACATGGCGCCGGAATAATGGGCTCGAAGCGCCTTTGTTTCACCCCGATGAACCAAAGCTAACTGATATAAATGTGCTGTCGTATATAGGCGTTTCTAACTCTTCCTGAGCACATGCTAATGCGTTTTAAGCGCGGTCAACCCAGGTAATTATTCTTGTAACGTTAACGCGAAAAAAGAACCAAGGAGGTAGATACAAAAAACAGACCTTTATCTTTTGGAAGCTGGCCACTGACATCCCAGCCCCCCAAGCCCGAGCCTCGCTCGCGCCCTCTCGTTGGGCGTAGGGCGCCGAGCGCGAGCTTTTTTCTGCCGCAGTTGTGGGCCGCACGGCCTACAACGTGAAGCGTTCTTTGGCTCGGTGTTCGGCATTTTGTGAAGCCCGGATAAAAGTGAAGCATGGGTAGAAGCGTGGCCACGAGACTTTACAGTGATTGGAATCGCAGTAAAGAGGCGTTTGCGCTAGGAGGAATTCGAACCCAGACCATTTAGATTATTAAGCGAATGTTACTCCAGCATGTCACGACGCATCGGCATGAGTTGGAGTACTATTAACGTGAAACGCTCTTTGTCTAGTTGTTTGGCATTTCGTGATGCACAAATAAAAGCGTGGCCGCGTGGCTCGACATTGATTGGTTAACGAGTGGGAGAGTAGGAGTGAGGTGCTCAGCACTAATTGGTTAACTTGGAGATCATGTGACTGAAGAGGGGGACGAGGAGGAGTGAGGTAGCCGAGGAGGACTTCAACCACCTGTGTGCACTGAGGGAGAAGAGCTTCAGGGTATGAAAGGCTCTGCAAGATCACTAGGTTTATCAGACCGATTAACGGTTGCATCGCCTCATTCTAGAAACAACTATCAAGTGTACAAATGGTACGCGTTAACCTATCCGATGAAGAGCGGCGTCAATGCGTCGGCTTCCGGCGTCTGCAAACTAAAGTATCGTTAAAGATTTGTTAAGCTAGAACGTTTCACGTATCCAGCGCAAGTGCATAGCAATTCGCCATATTTTCTATATTATGTACCAATGAAAGGCCTTAATTGTATGCTGCTTGGGTTCCTCCAATTGCCTGAAACAAACAAAATGTAATATTCAAACGCTCACTTAGAGGTAGCTGCTTGATATAAGACAAACAAGAAAATAACTGCATAAACCACTATTGTTGGTTGTCTATGAATTTCGATAGCATTTGTCATGAGACTAACGATGCAGCTTACTGTAAATACTACGACGCAAGCTTTGAGTAAACACTTTATTTTATGAATGGTTTACGACGCAATCATTTACGTCGACGCGACTGCTGTGCGCCACTCTGTAACTGAGGTATTGCTTACGCTCTGTGTATTCGTTAATCTTAATTCCATCTCTGTGCAATCCTTTAATGTGCAAGGCGTTTCCCCACCATCATTGCACCTTGCTGTATACGTCGTGTCCTGTCTCTAATCGCTTAATGTAAAAGCTGTTTCACCACCATAGTTGACCATGCACCAACTAGCTCCACTCAAACCAATAACTGATTCGTAGCTTTGCCGAAATCTGAATGTGTGCGTACTGCCGCTCCATGTATGCGCGGCACGAGTTATCTGCTTGCTAGGACGACATCTAGGTCGTCATCAAGAATTACCTCTAGGACAGTCTCAAGGACGACCTCTAGGAAGACCTCTAGGAGGATCTCAAGAAGGGCCTCTAGGACGACTTGAAGGACGATGTCCTAGAGTATGACCTTAAAAAACGATGTCTAGAACGACCTCTAGGACGACCTCTAGGACGACCTCTAGGGCGATCTAGAGGAAGGCCTCAACAGCGACGTGTAGGATGACCTCTCGAGCAACCTCAAGGACGACGTCCGCATACGCGTGGCGCCTGCGTATGCGGAAGCACCGCGTCGCCGCGCAGAGCCCCCGCATATACCCGCGGCGCATACGCGCTCCGCGCCTATGCACGGCGCATTCGACGCCAGAGAGCGTATCGCGAAAACCAGGTGTGGTAATTAAAGATTGCTATCGCACTAAGACCCTGGTAAAGTGTCACCCTTTGTGGGTTTCTGTTTCGTGCCGATAGAAGCAGTGTTGGATAAAAAAAAAAAGAAGCAGACAAGATCGGTCTTGGTCCGTTTGACCAAGACCGATCTCCCTTGTACACTGCTGGCTACTCGTGGCATTCATCTCGTTTTTATATCTTTTTTTTTCCAGCTGGACTGGTGAACCTGCTAGCATATTCGGACACATTGATGAGCTGTGTCGGGATAGCTGGCATTATCAGCGTGGACACGTTTTTCTTCCTGAGGTACTGGTGTACTTCTACATTTGCTAAAACATTGAAGTCAGTTCGTTTTTATAGTAAAATAAATAGAACATTTTATACGTGCTCAATACCTACGCATCTTATAGTCGTTATGGACATATTAAAATTTAATATATAATTAGGATACAAAAATGCTGACGGATAGTTAATTAGCCCTAAGTAAATCTCTGCCTTGACGTATTTTTATGAAACTTTCCGGTGCAGTAACATCGCATCCTCCTTCGGGAAAATAAAGATCTAGTTTTATAACACCACAACCGCGTTGTTGTAGAATTATGTGGCTAAAAGCACTTCACTGAAATATCAATAATTAGTCTAATTGCTTGTGCAATGTCAATCAAGAACGTTTTAACAACAACAACTTCAAGCTAGTCCCTCGCGACGCATACACTAATGCTTGGAGCACTGGTAGCTCCTGTACGTAAAGTTATTCAGCGTGATTTAAGTATGCAACCGAACGAATGACATGAGATAGGTAAAGTTATTCCGCAAAAATAATGCACGAACAGCGATGTAGAGCACGAGTTTTGAGAGGCGTGGAATTGTCGGAATTTCTCCGAATATTATTTTGGTCCACTCATTCGCTAGGCTTGCTTAAGTAGAATAAAATATGTATTATGGGTGGATGCAGGCTTAAAATTCTGCACATAATCACTGCAAAAATAACAGCGTAGATGCTCAACAACTACCGCAAAATAAAGCGACAAAGAGTAATAAAAGGGAATGAAATATACGTAGCGCGCCAAAGTTTGTAAAGGTAAATAAGAGGGAACGAAGCCTTGCCTCGTAAGCATTATTATACGGTGAGCAAGCAGACCGAGATGAGCGACCTTTCTCACATCAGTTTTCTCGAATATCCTTCTATGAGAATAGAATATAGTGCACTCATTTGCATCAAACAGCGCGCCTACAGCACCAAGTCCTCTCGTAGTGGTGCAGGAACTTGGCGTCTGGGAGAACGCACAGCGCTGCCGCTGCAGTCGCACATTCGCGCGGTACAGAAGGGGAGGGTATTCCGCCGCTGCACCAAGATACCGGATTCGCCAAGGCAGCACAGATGGCTATTCTCACCCGTCTCACTGGCTTACACGATGATAGACGACAGCGGTCACCCGTCCCGATTCAAAGAGAAATAACCCCAGGCTCCTCGCGTCCGGCCCTTTTCGTTGCACAGTGGCCTGACGGCGCCAAGGCCGTTTGAATTTCATCGAGCCAAATGTATCTCCCAGCAAAGCAGTTTGTTCCTAGATCGTTGTGACTCGTCTGATAGTGTTGACTAGAAAGACACATTACAGTCACAATCACAATCACGATCAGGACCGCGCGGGCGTCGACTGGTTGGCACTGGCAAGCGTCCCGAAGCGCCCGCCGCCGAGGCGTGTCCGTTATGTGAATCAGCGTGCCAAGTCGAGGGATTTGACGCGCAAGCTGTCACAGTCGCCTTTTATAATTCTCTCAGTGCTCTGCGGTCGACAGTAGTGTGCTCGCAGATGGCGTTGGTGCTCAGCGGCTCGGCACTCTGACAGCACGGCACTCTCGGAGCAAGAAGCAAACTTTTGTCTTCACGCCTACCCGCTAAACAGTTCGAATTAAAGTTCGACTCCGGGTTGTTCTGCGCAAGAAGCACACGAACGTGGTCACCATATAATTATGTTTTTGGTTTATTTTGCCAATTTCTACATCATAATATAGCGTGGCACAACTCCGCAACCAAGCGAACCTTCGTGAAAAACAATCTCATCTGTTCTAGACACGATTCTATGAAGTGTAGAAGCATCACTAAGGAACAGTTTCCACAGTACAAGAGCAACAAACACATTTTGAAATGTCAATGCTCTCGTTCATTAAAATGCTGGGGCATTTTTCTTAAAGGCCATCCAAAATTGCTATTACTTGAATTGACTATTCATGACGTGTGGAGGTTCCTCCTCCGCACGTCATTTACGCGGAAACACTAAGTGAGTAAGAGGTGAAGTTCGATGCTGAACGCGGATCGCATCGGCTCAGACGGAGTGTTCTATATTTGCGTTAACAAATTAGCGTTATTTATTTAAAGGGACTGACTCCTCTGTTCACACTGGACAGGTGTAGATGTCCTGTAATGGTTTTGAAAGTTTAGGACTGTGATTTCAGGTTATCAATATTGAAACAACCCAAAAAACCTTTCTCTTATATAAACTCCGAAGAGGGTTAGGGCTATTGGGTTGAGGTATTTTTCATATGTCATCACACAAAGTGGTCATAATTAAACGTGTAATTCCTATGTAAATTATAAACAAGCTCATGTTTTGTGTAATATTACGGCTGATGTACACCTGCCAGCAATATGAAGGTGAACACCTTACCTGATTTCTTGCCTGTTTTACGGCTCCCTAAAGCTACATAAACTCTCAACGTCTGAAATGGTACGTGGCTTAAGGTCTAAACTGTGCGTTCTGGCCCTCTCCTGGAGCAGAGCTTGCTCCAAAACTTGCAGGAGCGTCAAAAACAAGAAGACGGCTGTTCACCTTCATATCGCTCACGGGTGTACTTTGCTGCCTAAATATTGCACCATTTTATTTAATTGCTGCACTTCCTTTGTAATTATGCGTTATTTACACTTTACACAGCACAGAGACTAACATTTCATCAATTGGATACAGTTAAATTATTACTGATGTCTTTATTCTCAATGAGGGTAACTTGGGAGGATGAATATTTATCAGTTTTGAAGATATAAGAAACCTGAGTGATCTAATTACGTTAGGTTGTTCGCAGCCCTTGTATGGTTTCTGCTTACATACGTATTAACTAAAATTTACTTTTGTTTGCTTTCAAAACCGGAGGCTCTATTTTATTCATATCGAGCAACACACGTACTTGTCATTTATTCTTAGTTTCGAGAGGCATTAATAGATTGTTTGTGAGGTTTTGTCTTTCCAATCCACCGCAGCTTCACTAGCAAATTGTAATCACCATAGTAGTGGTTAGCATATATCGGCAGAATTTACTCACGCTTTTGGTGCGAATAAAAATGCAAGTTCAATCTAAATACAAAGCAATAATTTATTTCAGCGGATTTCTGCTTGCGTACGGCCTTCTCAAGCAGAACAGAAACAGATGTCTAGTGGCTGCAATCGCCTGCGTTCGACGTTTTATCAGGTAAGACCAGTTGCGGGAGTTTTCTTTTTTTGTTTTTTTTTTATTGCTAAACAATTGCTTGGGGCAGCCAGGGAGATAAATGACTGTATCAGTCTCTAACCAGGAGATGCTAGGCCAACATCCAATGGGCTAGTGCGCATCTCACACAGGAAACAGTGTGCCTGTTAGCTTCTTTCACGTGGCGTACTCCCGGTTCGAAGCCTGACCGTGGTCTGAAATGTACCCTGCGTGCTGTTAGACGCGAAGGCAGTGCTTTAGAGCTTACTCAAGTTTCCTTTTGTTGTGAATATTTAGCATGCCTAGTGAAAGTAAAGGTAAATATACTGAAACTTTAGTTTTTTACTAACCTGTATTTATGAAGAGCTAAGGTCAGCCAGCGCATGTTATGTCGGCGTTTGGATGTCCAAAATAGTCCCTGCAGTTGCCGCCGTGGCGGCAGTGAAGGGACAAACATCGAAGAATAAGTTAGCTTTGAGCAATGTAAATATATCCCGGAGTGTAGTTCTATCGTCGACGGAGCCATGCCCGTGTTTCTGCGCTTTACCAACTCCCGAAGCGACGACAATGAAGTCACTTACGCTTAAAACCTGACGCGCAAAAAAAAAAAAATCCTTTTTGGCAGAAGATGTTTCTCCTTTCCTTCGTTTCGCCTTCCAACTTTCTTCTTCCTTGTTTACGGTCTTATCACATGCTAATCGTCTAAGTGGCTTATAACCCGCAAACCTGAACAGCAGGGATTAGTCACACCGGCAGAAAATGAGCACCGAAAAGGGCTGTTGCTAGGGAGCCTTCATGTGCGCTTTGCTAGGGTGATGCCACCCTTTGTAATACCACTCGCCGACAAACCAGCAGCCATTTTGTTCCTCGGCGATATTCCGTGGGGCTTATAACCCTCCCGGAAACAAGCACCTTATCTCAGAAGTTCGGAGCAGCGTTGTGGAACCCACGGAGGGAGGATTAGCATTTTCCCCCTCGGATGTGATTACCGATGGACACAAAGGTCACTTTCCGGCGCACGGGGAAACAATGAGAGGAACAAAATGGCGGTGGAAGAGGGTGTGGGAAAGGGAAACAGGCAGTTGGCATCACTCTATGCGAAGCGGACATGAAGGCACTCTAGCTGTTGCTATCGTTTGATTCGGATTCGTGGATCACTCTTCGGGCTATTAGCCCCGAGAAGTTCGCGTGGCGCCCCCTTACGGCAAACCGGGGTGACGTCACGGCGAGGAGAGAATTTTTCCCCGACTCGCGCCGCTCGCCCTGTGGAGGCTGTGACGACGCTAGCTGTCGGCGCGCTCGTTTCTATTTAATTTTTTTTGGCGTGTTTTTCGTAGGAAGTGTAAATTTTTTATGTGCCTTTATTGAGGTATGGCCTGTAGCTACAGGCGAAACTTCAACATACATATTAAGCATCGTTGACAGGGCAGGCAACGCAGGAATCAGAGTGGTATATGATAATAAAGATATATGGCCACAATTGCAGGAGCATCACTATAGATTTACATCTCGCACAATAAATGCTGCTGATGGTCTGAATGAATTGGCAGGTTGTGTATACTATTTTTTTTGTATCTCTGTTTTTACGAGATACAAAAATAGGAGGAGTAGCTTTGGCTTTAATAAAACATTATCTAACAAATCGTTTTCAATTTGTCAAAGTTAACAACTCTGTCTCAACCACGTTGGAAGTAAAATATGGTGTCCCCCAAGGTTCTATCCTAGGCCCCTTGTTGTTCCTCCTTTATATAAACGACATTACTGCTATTCCTAGATCTCCAGAACGGATTATATACGCAGATGATACGAACGCATTTTTCGCCTCTGCCTCCAAAGCATCCCTAGAGTCAATGGCAAATAGCTATCTCGCTGAATTAGCAGTGTGGCTCAATAAAAATAAACTGCAGCTAAATTCTAAGAAAACCAAGTATATAATTTTTGCTCCAATAAACAAACATGATAATACTCCAATAACTCTGTATTTCGAAAACACGATTATAGAGCAAGTCCCCGAACAAAAACTTTTAGGCGTTTGGTTTAACCAGGAGCTTAGCTGGAATGCACATGTAAATAAGTTGACTGCTGAGCTTTCTCAGGCAGTTGGATGTTTGTATAAAATAAGAAACCTGATCCCTACATGGTTAAAAAAACAAATTTATCACTCTCTTTTTTACTCAAAGTTATGCTACTGTATTTTAGTATGGGGCACCACCACGCTCACAAACTACAATAAGATTCTTAAATTACAGAAGAAAATTTTGCGGTTATTTGAAAGTTACACGGGAAATATGCAAGACCTTCCAACTGAGCGACTTTTTAAAAAACATGGTAGACTCAAGGCTAACCAAATTTATGATTTCAAGTTAATGCAACGTATCAAAACTGAGAAACTTTATGGTAAAAATACAAGTGATGCAGTGCACAGATACACCTTTCGGCACTCTTTAAGACGACCCCCACAGATTCGAACAAATTACGGAATGCAAACTAAAGATTATCAGGTGACCAAATTATTAAATTCAATTGGGACCTTCGTGGGTTTTAATAACTCCTTTTCTAAATTTAAAAAAGAGCTGAGGACACTCTTGGTGGGCAGTGACACTGTTTTATAGTCATTTTTATACATGTACAATTTGATGCTTTTTATCTCTGAACTTGTGAAAAAGTTTCTTTCATAATCTATATTACTAGTTGCGATCCTCATGATGATGTATTATAAAGCTATGACATTATTTGAATTGCTGATTGTTCTACAGCTGCATGAGTGTATACTATACTGTGTACCGTATGTACGAACTGCAAAGGGGACAGAAACCTTCGTCAGGCATTTTCTGCCTTTAGTCTCTGTTCCCCTTTCGGTTGATCCGAAAGAAATAAAGACTTCAATTAAATTTAAAAAAATTCAATTCAAACAAGATCGCCGAAGCAGAAAAGCTGCATGCTGCTCGAGCAACATGCTAAATACAGTCTGGCCATGGGGAGGGAATCACAAGTAAGACAGCCCAAGTGGAGGGGCAAAGTAAAAAAACAAGGAACATTTTGTTATATACATTGCTTGCATTTGACCTTTGCTGGATTCGGATAGTATTTCAATGGACTACACGGGTGGTATCTGCGGACTTGTTTATATCAACCCTCAAGTAATGTATAACAAACGTAAGCAAAGGTGTCTAGCTCGTTATTAGTCCCTTAAGCCCTAAAATTGAGATTTTACTTAAATGGAATTCTCCTAAAGCTGAAATACCAGAAGCTTTTCTCACTCAGACTGTCGCCCTTCACAGGTTCCACATTTTCTGCTACTATAGTGCTGCATCTACCACTGGACAGACAATCGAATGCTTGCTTTTACTCCTGTTTTCCTCTGTCGTCAAAGAGTCCAGCTGTAGAGAGTTTGGAGGCTGAGGAAGCTTTTGGAGACCTGCAACAGCGTCTCTTTTAATTGGAAATCACAATTTAGACTAAACGGTGTATTTTCCGAATGCCCGAGGCTGGAATAAAAATGCCCGGAAAAAGTATAAATATTCGAAATTACGGCACTATTGCTGTGCATATTTTGGTCAGTTCAATACATATCATACAGGCAACTGGGAACAATTCGGCCGTCTTTGCTGCTACCATACAAACTAATTTCCAGTAATTGTGCATCTTCTAAGAAATATGCCTCCATGCGCGTATAAACTATATAATAAATTCACGAAGAAGCTACATTTATGTAAAACAACCCTGTTCCACGAGCACCTCAAAAATAATCAGACACAGGGCCTTTAAAGGGACACTGACAGGGTATTTATGCTCGCCGAGGTTTTTAGTTGTACGTGACATATGAGACCTCAACAACCCATAACAGAATTTGCGGCTCGAAATTCGGTTTCTTTCCGCCCGAAAACCGCCGATCAAGAACTGGCCGGTTCGAGTCTCGCTCACTCTCTTTTCCGCGGTCACGGGCCGTTTTCTAAGGTATCGATGCGACCACCAAATTTAATCAAAGTCGTGGGTCACTGAAGGCACACACTCAATATTAAAAATAGAAAAAAATATGAAACCCATTTTTTGTGGCTTCTAAAAAGCTGCAAATACGTTGATTGAAAAAAAAGTTTCACAGACAACCGGAAGCATTCTGTGCGTGCGTCGTTTCGCGTATCGTGGGACTCGCAGGGACGCGATGGCAGCGGACGACGGGCGTGGGACCTCTATTTCAGAACTGTCGTTCGCGGTACCGGAGAATTTTGTCTGCCTTTAAAAGAGAAATTTGGGACTGATCAAAAGAATTGGTCTTCATCCCGTACGACACGCCCGACCACCAAGCCGATTTGCACGAAGACGTCGCCGAGCCGTCGCTCCCTTCTCGTGGCTGAAGATATCGCTCGCGCAAACGTCAAGCACGACGTGTCTACTTCGAGTTGAATATGCACGCGTACGATTTCTTTACAAGGTGAGAATGTCGCCAATGCGGGGTGCATCCCAAATTCGACCCGGGAGTGCTTTTGCTGAAGGTAAATCGGTAGCAAACTTTCCAACTTAGAGTTTATCGGCTGAATTATTACTAAGGAAAGAGGCTCCCACTTTCGATATGCTCAGTAGCTTGGGGAGTGCGAGCGCGCGTGCCGAACGTGCAAGGCGTTCGAAACATGAGCTCCGTGGAAGCGTCTGCAACGGCCCTTGCTGGCCGCGGTTCTAATCACTCCGGTGAATCGACGAACGATGACTATAAAATTGTTTTACCACAGATGCCTACAGGAATTACGAGTAAAACATCGGTGCTTCTGCATTGCGATTTGAAAGGGCGCCCCTACCGTATCCAGGATTTTCGTCAAGAGATGGCCAGGTGCGGCGTACTCGGCGACATCGCAGCACTCGGTGCGTACCAAATGAATCATGTTTGGATGGCTACCCTCCGAACGGCAGAAGCAAAGAGACGACTCGTAGACGCCAAAGAACTGCAGGTGAAGGGTCTTCGGTGCCTCGTCGTGGATCCCAGCATCACGGAGGTACGGCTTCGTCTC